ACATTCGAAAATTCAACTGGAGAAGCATGAAAATCTTCATTTCGACTCTACTAAGAGCTGAAATTTGAATTATAGATTCATTAAATCCCATTCCTAGCCCTGTTGGAGTCTAAATTGAACAATAGAATTATTGAAATCTGATTATTCTATAGTTAATTCTTAACTAGAAGGCATTTCTGAACCTTGTGAGATGAAATTCAACAAAAGACGAATGAAAATCTTAAAATTTCCTCCTTTATCGACCTGAAATTCGAAATATAGATGCAAGAAAAATCTATTTCCGATGCTGCTGGAACCAAATTTAAACCAAGAAAGTATAAAAATCTGATTTTTGATGATTCTAGAATTAAAATTATTGATTCAAAGGACATTGTTATACGAGGGTCTCAGCTGCACTCCAAGAGGTGCTAGACTGCGTGCTTAATTGGTGCGAGAGAGAGGAAATGACAATTAATCCTCACAAAATGGTCATAGTACCCTTCACCAGGAGAAAAAAAACATCATAACTTGGTACCTCTAACTATTCGGCGAGAATTAGTGCCATTCTCAAATGAAGCAAAGTATTTGGGAGTCATCCTGGACAAGACTTTAAACTGGAACGCTCATTTGGAAAAAGTAAGCCGAATGGCAAAATTGTCGCTTTGGAACTGCCACAGAATCTGCGGAAAGACCTGGGGAACAATTCCAAAACAGATTCACTGGATCTATACCATGGTTATCAGACCAATGATAGCCTATGGCTCTGTAGTATGGCAAGGCGAATCAGAAAAGGGCCCAAGCCACACTTAGCGGATTGCAGAGAATAGCTTGCCTACAACGGGAGTGTTGCGCACCATGCCTACAGCAGCTATAGAAGTCCTCATAAACCTGACTCCACTCCACATAGACGTGAAGAGGGGAGCAATGAGGTCAACCTATCGGCTGTACCATGCTTCAAAATGTGGCTTCAAAAAGTACTTTGGAGGGGAGAAGCGCAATGCTTGTGGGTGAAATAAACCCTCAGCATGCTCTGACATAATGCCAAATAAAACTAACTTTGGTTGGCCCTTCAAAACAACGATTCCGGACAGAAAGCTATGGGCCAGCGACAGGACCGAACTACTGAGGGCAGATCTCTGCCTGTAAGTAGACGAATGGCTCCAAAAGTAGACATGGTGTCGGAGCAGGGGTATATGGTGAAAAACCAAGGCTGGGAATTTCGGTCAGCTTTGGCAAAAACGCAGGACGAATTGCTGGGCATCGAGCTTGGCGCGAAAAGCAACAAACGCACAAGCTGCGCTGAAAGCACTGGCATCCATACATTGCACGTCGAAAACAGTATGGAACTGCAAACAAGCCCTGAATCAGCTAAGGGAAAAGAACAACGTTTCACTAGTTTGGATACCGGGACATACTGGACAAGAAGGCAACGAAAAAACGGAGCAACTTGCAAAAGCTGGATCGCAGCTTAACTTCATTGGACCGGAGCCAATATTGGGAATAGCCATGAATACGGCTAACTTCATAATCTCGACCTGGGCCAATACAGAGGCCAAACAATATTGGTCGAGACTACCAGGCATGAACCATGCAAAATCCTTTGTACCCTGTCCAAAAGGGGGAAAGTGGCAGACATACTTCTGGGAATGGAGAGGAAGAGCCTCAAAGCACTGGTGGGTTTGTACACTGTACACTGCAGACTCCGTTATCACATGCACCAGGATCGGAATAGCACAAAGTGCCGAGTGTCGCGTTTGCATGGAAGAGGACGAAACTGCAGAACACGTCCTATGCTAGGCACGTGTTCGGCGATAGGCAGAATCAGGCATGCTGTTTTCGGGGAGTCAGCTGTTTGACCCGAATACATAAAGCATGCTTCCCCCATACTTATCTCCACCTTCATAAGAAGGGCTGGACTGCTGGGAGTGAGTGAGCCACAATAGACCGTAGGTCGCAGTGGAAGGGTCGACATCGGACCACTCACAAGAAACCTACCTAACTATACCTTGAAAGCTGAAATTAATCAAAAGAAGCTTTTAAATATTAAAATCTGCTCTTCTAGAAGTGAAATTTGAACTAGAGATGCATGAATATCGTATTCTTGATGGCACTGCTGAAGTCCAAATGGAACTAGAGAAATATAGAAATACTATTTTCGATCATATTCCAGACTTTTCAGTTTATTTGGTTCCGTAAAACGGGGATACTTTGTGACAGATTTGGGGGTTTTTTGAAATTCTCAAACATTTCTTTGCCATATAAAATTCTAAAAAAAATACACTATGTATATCCGTTCTTCCGCTACAAAATGGCAGTTCTAGGAAATTGAAGAAAAAAAAAATAATTCAGCTTTTTTTTAATTTGAAAGTGTGTTTTTTCAATGAAAACATAATGTAACCCCGTCATTTTTAGTCTGAAACGATAGGAAATGTCAAGAAATATATGCTCGATAATTCTCTGTTACTAGAAACACGGGTTTATATTGATTTAGACATTTTAAACTTTTATTGTATATCATACGATATAGTATTTATCACCCTCATATTCATCCAGAAATTGGGATGTGAACTCCACCCATAGGAAGTCGTCCACATTAGGAGACATGTCGATCCTTTTAGCATTATTTTAGGTTGAGCATAAGTTTCTACCATAAGAATTACATGTCACAAAGTTACCCCGGTAGGTTACTCTTTTTTGTTTATTGTTAAAAAAAATGTGTTAAATTAATAAATCGTAAGCGTATTCACGTAGATATTCCGACAAGTACCCAAGCAATTAGAAATTCTGACAAATTTTTCTGGGGAGTGTTCAAATTCTGATGTACAGTAGAAAGTTTGGGCGTTTCGAAAAAGTTGCAAAAACGAGATGCTCCCTTCGAATCAGGCTGCAAGTTACCAAGAGAGCGTACCAGCTTGCCGAACGGTTTTTGTAGCGAGTGAGGTATGTGCTTCCACCAGCTCGTAGAAAAATTTGGCTTCGCGCGCGGAATTCAAAATGTTTGGCTAATTTGAATCGAATTTCACAATGTCACAAAGTTTCCCCCTTGTCACAAAGTATCTCCGTTTTACGGTTTCCGATTCTTGGGTCTCTCTTTTTTTGATTACAAATTTTCTTCATTATTTAAGTCCAGATTGTTAACTCCACAGCCTTAACATTTAACAGCAAATATCTCGCAGCTAAATAGTGGAGGTGGAACTAAATTATCAGAAACTTCAGATGGACAAACTTTGAAAAAATAGCCTCAATAATCAATACGATAATTACGATACCTTTAGATAAAGCTGATAACTATTCTAGAAGAAGATCCTTATAATTAAAGGCTACATACACCCACGCAGAAAAGCTAATCTAAGAAGAAAATCCTCTATGTTAAATTTCAACGATGATTAGCAAACTTGGAATAGATTTATTCAATTAATTCATATTGCAATAATTATTTCCTACAGGCTTCGCTGCATATTCATATAAAAATAAACTTAATTATCTGGCACATAAATGAATCAGTTTATCAGAAAACACGGCCTTTTGACTGTGCTTTTGATGCGTATTTTTAGATTACGATGCAAAATTGATTATAGAAAAATCCTTTACTTAGTAGGTAGGTAGTTTACTCTAACATCAAAATGTGTATAATAATTATCCTTGTTGATTTGTTAATTATCTTGTGAACATAAGGAAGGAAATCATGGACAAATTTGTAATCAGTCAAATTATGTAATTTACTCATCAAATGATTTATTATTTAAATTGTTTTGATATTGGAATAAGGAATAAACTTATTACATACCTATTGGAAAAAATTATTATATTTTTCTCCTGAAGCATTCTTAATAAATAGTTACCTCAAAAAGTAGCAGGTCAACGGAAAGTAGCCACTTGTGGGTCAAGTGTAAGGCCGTTGAGATTACACAATGCCTCGGGAGAATAATTTTCTCGCAGGTATCGATGTTGTAATAATTTTAATGTAAAACGCCTCTAGCTAATGGTATAGTTTTGATGTATATGATTATATTTTTCAAGTGATAGGGCGTTATTAGTTCAATTTCCGTATACGTCATCACACAATATTGTATGGCATTAAGTGAAAAATTAATGTTCCGTGCAATTATTGTCGCAGGGTCAATATTGATTACAAATTATGGTAATTCAAAAAAAAAAAACTGCAAAACTGCTAATTAGGTTTTGAGTTTTTTGTTATCAATTAGTTGAGATGCATTTTGTGTTAAAAAAAAAACAATGTAATTGATTATATTGATGGTAATTGTTGTAGTACCTAGGTAGATGGAAAAAAACCCCAATACAAATATAGAAATCTGATCTGAATTGATACCCCTGGGTTATTTGCCTTTTCTGAAGCTTCTCATATTGATTCTTCGACTACTACTAATGGTTTTTGAAGTTGGCTTGGTTTTATGTGATTCTCCAGAGAAATTGGGCTGAATGTTTTTCCTGTTATGATTCTTGATGAAGATCTTAATAATAGTTTTTCAGGATACCTAATTTCTTTTCCTGAATGTTGGTTTCTTAGGATCTTCTTCTGATAATCTCTCTTAAAGTTCTCTAGTTTTCAACTGATCCTTCAGAAGTAGCTTCTTCTGAAGTTCTTTGTGTTCTCTGAAAATTTACATTTTCCTTTCTCATTTTGTTTCAGGTCATTATTAAAACATTATAACCAATTTACACTCTGCTTGTTTTTAAAAAGCTCGACTGTTTTTGCAATACCTTAACGATAATTCTAATGGTTCCAAGCTGTCGGCTTTGACCTACAAAATGCAACTTTGACTACATTCGACTAAAACGATATCTTGTAGCGTGGTTTTGCAATAGATTGTTATTTGAATAATTATAATACATACTATTAGCCTTATTTTGCCAAGTTATACTCCTCTCTCCAGTTTTTCTTATTTCAGCCTTATCATCATCAGAGAAAATAAACCCGTTTCAAAGGCATACATGTTTTGCTACTAGACAACCTTTTAATAATTAACCTTGCATCATCCTATTAAGTTATTAAATTCCAGATTCCACAATGACGATCAACAATAAAAATAAAGAAATAAGTTATGCCAAAGAAGAGGATACAGATCGGAACAGTTACCCTGCTAGCGATAGTACCGACGTTATTGAAACGTACGCCAATGGAAATAATAATGGATCTATACAAAATAGGTAGGTATATAAGTGGAAAGCTGCTAAATGTTTATTTATTAACGATTTTTTTGAATCCAGGTTAAACGAACCTTTAAGTCCAAGCCAGCAACTATGTATGATGACAACCGTACCGCAAAATATCACTTCCAGGACTTTAGGGGATAAGCACACTCCCACTAGGAATAGTCTTAGGCATAGTCGGATGATTGTAATGTATAGAAATGGAAGAAGTAAGTAGAGCTGCGAGGAGGCGGTGCGTTAAACTATGATGTAACTTCTAGCTTAAAAATTTTAAATATACTTTTAGTTCTGAAATAGGCAATGCGATTCCTTAAAAATCTTTCGAAATTAGTCTGTAATTTGGATATTTGTAATGTTTTATTTTTGGTTATTTTTTCTTTTTTCCCCCATTTGTTGAGTGTTTCAGTGTTCTTAATTGTTCTAAATTGCTTCTGGAAATTGTAAATCGGATTTAAATGTTTTAGAGCATTCTAAAATGGTTCTGAAGTTTCCAAATTGTTCGGAACAAAATGCTTTTGGGGATTCTGAATTGAATTTAAAGTGTTTTGAACTATCCAAACGCTCATTGAAGTTCTAAAGCGTTCTGTACCATTCCAAATGGTTTTCAGTAACTTTTAAATTGAACAAGAAACAAATTCTGTAGGAAGTTTTTGTAGTCATCTTAAAGACGTCCAAAAACAACATTCAAGAAGTCTTTATAGATGCCTGCTTAAGTTTTCAATGGTTGATACACTCTATAGGACCATAAACCACGTACTCAATTATTAATTGCATTATTAATTCCACATGAGCAATTAAGATGCCATTCATAATCTGGCCAGTGTAATACCTACCTGCACAAGTAATTATAAAAGTATTACTTTTACATTATCGATGTCCTAATTGGTTTACCGGTCCAAAAAGTGGCATACTTTCATTTAGAATATTGATCTAGATAATAATTTTGGCATTCATGTGTAACTATTTTGTTGATTAATTATTACTTATGTATATTTATGGACTCGTGTAGAATTTTCTAGTTTTTGAGAAACAAAAATTAATTTTGAGAACAGGAAAATTTTATAGCATATCATTAGTATTGGCCTAATAATGCCATTTAAGCTGAAATTACCTTATTTTACGCACCGCCTTCAGTAGTTTAAACAAGAAATTTCCAAATATTTAAGCTCAAGCCTCGTTTTTTTCAGTACCCAAAAAGTACCTGCCCTTTGTGATAAAACACTACAGACTAGTCAAGTCAATGAAAGTCATTACGATAGTTTTAGGAATGCTTATGTGTCTGGCGTCGGTTTGGTTGTTATTGTGGAGTCCCACCCTTAACGCTATAGATTTTCCTTATTGGAGCGCAGTACCTGTAAGTACCTACCATTAATAGTATTTTGCCCAAAATAATTATATTATTTTCAGGTATTTTGTTCAGGAGTTGTAGGCTGTTTTTTCCTAGGATTTTGTCCTAGACCCTATCCAGATAGAAGATTAGGATGTCATTATCATTTAACTAAGGTAACTATTATCCAGCCTTAAATTCAACTTTACTGAATAAATTATTTTTTAGTTTATCAGCATTTTAACAACAATAGTCTCAATAATGACTTGTCTAGTAGTCCTCATAGTTTGCATAATCCACTTAATCTACATCCACATGGCGATTTGTTCTCCTCACGACAAACTCAATTCGACTTGTGTGTGTTCCACCAAATCCATGTCGCATCATCTTTTCAATGAAAGTTACCATTATGAAGATTTCACTTGCGAAGAAGTCAATTGCTTCTTGAAAGGGATTATAGCAACTTCCTGCGTGTTAAATGTTTTGGCTCTAAGTTTGGAAGTTATGTATTTGTGTGCCCAATGGAGCAGCAGGACGAAATATTTGTATGCTAAAGTGCCAGTGAGGCATGAATTGGAGGGAAGATGACGATTTGTATGAATTTTTTGTTATGTAAATGTTTAACCATATATTTGATGGTTGTATGTATTTTGTTTAACCAATTTAGTGTGCAATAATTATTGTACAATGCCTACTTTTGTTTGCTCACCAAGCCTTAATAATTAATTATACACACCAGGTCAGTATTAAAATAATGTTTATTTGTCGTTTGTATAATAATATATGTTTTGTATAAAAAGTGTATTTGTAATAATTATTTTTAAGATACAAATATATATTTTTACATAGAAATTTTCAGACTCTTTTTTTAAAACCTAATAATACTTGCATTATACGTCATACGCATAAAACACTAATTGAATTTTTCTAAAAACCATTATACAATAATTATTAAGCTTGGCAACTATCACAAACCTGTCATTAAAATATACAAAAATATAAATGGTAAAATATGGTTAGTATAATCCTATTGCACCTAATAAAATTAAGTTTTATAAAACAAAACAAAAATCTATATAAAATCACTGTAAAAAAATATTCACAATTAAATTGTCACCAGTTTTGGTGGAGGAGTAAGATTATTTGGATATCTGGATTTGAGCATGGCACTAATCCAATTCGCCCTTATAGCCGCATCGTTCCAAACCAGGATATTTCCAAAATACGGATTTGTACGTGTCCTACAGGGATTGGCGTCTTTTTCCAAAAATGTCGCGGTCCATCTGGATTGGGGACTCCTTTTCGATTCGTGCCCTAAGTACCAAGTTATGTCTTCAATGCGCCAAGAATACAGATTGATATCGCTCTAAAAAATATTTAATGAATATTTTGATTGAAAAATTATTTTAATTTCTTACAGATTTGTCTTTGAAACAACTCAAACATCCTTGGGTGAATTGAAAATTGTATACTTTAAGTAGCTTGGTTTTGCTATCAGCAAACTTTAATTCTCCCGATATTGGCAAGGGTTTTTCTAAGATGTATTCCCAATATTTTGATAGAGATACGCAAGTTAGATAGTTATCTTTTCTATCAGACTCGTTCCAGTAGCTCCATTTAAGAACCACATCTAAAACCTAAGAAAAATGTATAATATTTTATAAAATAATTCAATCAATATTACTTTTTCAGTGTGGTGTATAGGCCTGAGAAGTTTATCACCAAGTACAGATTCTTCTAAAATGATTTCATGCACTGGTGATTTGATTTTGTCACTGAGCTCAAGACAAACTTCATAGGCAGTCCTTTGAGGTCCAATCTAAAAAAAAAAACGCATTTGCCAAACCCCACTTCAAACAAATCTAAATACTTACAGAAACATTATAAGATTTGCCATCTTTATTGAACAAATAAATCCACACTCTAAAATCGCCTGCAGTTTTCTTGTTCATAGATCCCTGAGGACTTTGCATGTGCTTTTGTAATACTTTAAGCATGAGTTTCTCTTTTTCCAATTCTCCAGGGTCTTCAGGGAAAACTGCACGATAGTATCGGATAAGTTGAGCCACTACTTCAGCATCTTGAAGATGATGGGAGCCTGGTTTGCTAGGCCTTTCTTTATCCTAGGAATTTTCAAAATTGAATCAATATTTTGTAATAGGGATGTTTTTTACCTCATAATTCATCAAAGTCATGCCCCATATGGAAGCCAAATTTTCTACTGTCATCAAATTTTTGGCGCTTTGATTGCTTATAAAATGCAAATGGCCCAGTAACTTTCTGGCTGTTTTGTATGATACTGAAGGTAACTGATCTAGGGCAGCTTTGAACATACGGATTTTTTCGTCTTTGACATTATGTTCTAAAATAATCAAAATCAAATTACCTAATCCATATTAATTAACATTATTAACATTGAAGTATTCACTTACAAAAACAATCCAAATGCAGACTGTAATAAAATAACAAATTTTGATAAAATCATAATAATATACTCACTAGCTACTTCATACAAGTACTGTCTATGATCACAGCCAAACAAAGGCTCAGGCAGTTCTCTAAAAAATCGTTTAAGTGCAGTACCAACTTCGTACTCACTATAGTTGTCTCTGGTTAATTGAACTGCAAACGCATCCTTTCTGAATTTAGTCAATAGGTCAGCTATTGAAGATCCGGTGCCAGCTTTCCTGTAAATGCCTTCAGACATACTACCGTGAGCGTAAATAAAATTAATACACTTTTCCACTATAACTGGAATATCGTTTTTTGTCAATTGTTGCTGGTCTAAGTTTGCTCCATTATTGTGGGCCTCTAGTTTGACTATATGACACCAAACCTAGAAAAGAAAATTAGCAAAAAAAAATTAATTAATCTATTGAATAATTTTTGCCTTAGTTTCCCTAGCAGTCCACATTCGTAAATACAAAGCCAAATCGGGACAATCCACAAGCATGTTAGGGCCCTTATCATTGGTTCTAGGATTGTTATCAGCTTCTTGGTAACCTAAAGTGATTAAGTTGAAAAACAAATCAACAATAAGAAATTAACAATTCTTACCTTGAAGTACTATGCAGCGTGCTTTTCTCAAGTCTATTGTCTTGACAGAGTGGCCATCGATTGCGTAATACAATTCTCGTTCACTTAAAATTAACCAAGCTCCTGCCCATTTACCACTGACACCTATAATATAAATACAATTACAGTTTTCATCAATAATAATTACAAATATTACCTTGTCTAACGTATGCCCACCCCATTCTAAGGAAATTCGTGGTAAGTCTCGATTTAAACCTCTGAGTAAGCATTTCAGCTAAACACTGCAACCAAATTCTTCTCTCGGTAATATTTTTGGACCCATACACATGCCCTCCTCTACCTTTGCCCGTTATATTCAGCTCGAAACAATGCAAATCGTCACTGTCATAGCGGTATTTGTATTTGGCGTCTTGCAACAGCTGGATACTCAAAATGCTGGAGGCCGAAAAATGTTCTTTCAGGTGCATGCAAGTGTTATCAGAGTAACAGAATAAATCTGAGTTTTCCAAGACCCACCATCTACCACTGTATTCGCCGAATAGATCTTCGACTGGACCACCTTGGACCTGGGAATATATTTATATATTAATTTTTTATGAATAATTTTTCATTTAAATGATCTAATCTAATATATGTACCTTATACAACATTCCTTTTTTGTTTATAAAATTTTTGCCACCCAAAATAGGCCTTTCCACCAAATTATCCGCACATTTAGGTGATTTGAACACTTCAGGTGTCTTTTCCAGGACGTGTTGCTTCACCTGCTTGAGCCAACTTTTTTTAGGTTCTACTACGGGAGGCCTATAAAAAAATACAAATCCTCATTTTGCTGCAATTTTCATTAAAACGAAATCTACAATTTATCCACTTACAAACCTGTTAGGACTCAAATGGGTATCAGTGAACCAACTACTTCTAGATTTGGCTTGATTATTCACCACAGCAAGCCCTTTTTTCTCAACTTCCTTTGTAGAGGTTTCAGGGACTACGTCCAAGTCCTCAGGCAAAGAATCGAATCTCAATGGTGGCGTAGGAGGATTCAGAAAGTCTTCATTTTCAGACTCATTGCTGACGCTCCAATCAGCCTCATCAAATGTATATGCCTCAGAAATGTTGCCATATAAATCACCTTGAAGTATTTCTTCTAGAAGATTCATATCAGAAAACTGTGTGATGCTTGAATCTAGAAAAAAATCAAGCTATACTGCAAAAATAATTAATAATAACTTTGTTACCATCATTTAATGGATCAAACTGCATAAGAACACTTTTTGATGCTCTTTGTTCAGTAGGATTGCCTGCTGGATGTCTCAAAGGCACCTGATGATTCTCATAAATCGAATTTGCATGACTTTCTCCTGAAATAGACTTTTTTGTTTCAGTCTTATCAGGAATCAATGGCATTGAGCAATCGTCAGTTACATCTCTACTGTTATCATCTGATGGCAAGATATTGTAGTAAATGTTTTCTTCTTGAGAAGATTGTCTGTTGACGCTATCGTAAAAGGTCCAAGAACCTGAACTTGAAAGAGCGTTTTCTGAATCAGGATGTTTAGGGAAAACACTTTCATAGGCTTCAGGTTTTCTGGTTGGTAAAGATTTGCTGGAATTACTACTTGAAGCTATTGGTGAAGATCCTGAAGGTGCATCGTAAAAATTTTCATCAGGCAAAGGTGGAGGAGGATGTTTTGGAGGAGGCAAATTTATAGATTCGCTTGACGAGTCCGAGTTCAGCTCATTTTCTACGTTGCTGTAAATGCTATTTGTGCGGCTGATTGGCGAATCGAATCTTATATTATTGAACATGTCGAGTGTCCCTTCATATTCCTGCGCGGACTCTTTATTTTTGATGTGTTGTTTTCTTTGTTCTTGTGAGGCCGAGCTAAATCTACGGGTTAGTCGTCTCATGCTTTGTCTTGTACCTTCTATAACGGCTTTTTTGCGGTCTTGGACCAATTGTCCCAAGTCACCTGGAGAAAAAAAAAATAACGGAATTTAGTGCTAAAAAGAAAACTAAATTCAATAAATAGGTTGTTTTATTTCCTGACTACCAAACGGTATCTGTAACACAAGTAGTTATGTGCAAATTCCAGTCCAGCAAACAACACTAATGGAAAATATTCCTAGTAAATAAATGGAAGTCCTAGAGAAAATTTATTTGGAAGAGGAAAGAACAATACCCATTCATTGAGAGAGAAGAATTAGATTAAGGAAATTAAGTACAATGTTTAATTCTTACACGAGGGGTCGACCACTCATGAAAATTCGTAAGTATTCCCTGATATTTCCAAATATTGCACGGTACTTCCCAGTATTTCTAAATATTCCTAGATATTTTCAACGCATTTCCAAAAACTAAATTGTATTTCTAAGTTTTTTTAAGTATTCCCTTAGTATTTCAACAAATATTTTTTTTTCCATGTCCTAGTTAATTACAACATGTTGTTACAGTGAACTAAACATAATATGCCAACTGCAGGCTTTGCTTTAGGTAATGGAAAATTAGGGTCAAAATGTTAATCATTAAACTGCTGTTGAATATCATTCGAATGAAAATAGGAATAGTTTCCTCTACTACATTGTTATGAAGAGATGTCCCTGAATTGTTTAATAAGACTTTGAATACACGGCACGGTGCACCCACTATCTTTTTGTTATCCTAGATTATATCTATTTCATTTCCAAATCTTTAGGTATCTAATTAGAAAATTTAATACATGAAAATGAAGGAGGAATTTTACTTAAACACATTACATAATATAGTTGAAAGACTACAACACTGGATTTTACGTAAACATATCTATCCATAGCAGTTTTCAGTTTTTTTCTATCTTACAGGGTGTTTGAAACATGATACCACCTCAAAAAGCGAAAGCAAAATGTCTGTTTCACCCGAGGTTTCACCCTGTGCCTCGGAAACGAAATAAGGTGGCACAATTCTGTTTAGGGCACTCACAAAAAACTGATACAGGGTCGCGAAAACCGTAAAGTTCTATCTCGGCTGGTTACCGAGAAATCCTCTGATAACAAGTAATTTGGGACACAGATAAATTCCCGAGTAAATTCTTTATAAATTTGAGATAGATTATATTTTAGTACCAAACCTGCGCTCTGCACGCAACTCTTGAAATTTTTATGAAAATGCCCCAAAAATACGTTAAAAGTGGGGTTGGAAGTTATAGAAATTTACAGGTACTTTCATGTATTTCCAGATTATTCCCGTGTACTTCCAGAGTATTCCTATATTCTTCCAGAGTATTTCCAAGGATTTCCCAGTATTCCTACGTATTTCCTTCCAGAGTATTACCAGGTATTCCCAAACTATTCCCAGCAAAGTGTACAGTGACTTCCATGAGTGATTTACCCCTCGTACCTACATTAATTGAAGCCAGTTTAATTCAATATAATAATAATAATAATAATAATAAAAATATTTATTGCGTAATAAAATAAAATAAAATACAAAATACATTATTACACAAGCGGCTAACATTCGCTCAAGCGTTCTTCCATGTTGCCTTAAAATAATATATAGCAAAGCTATACACACTACACAGCTTTCAAAACTCATCAACAAAAGTACATTAGGGGTTCACAATATTATTATTATTACAACATTTCAACTAATAAAATATCTTTCAAATATAATTTTAAAGCGCCCTTAGAAACATTAGCTAATTTAAAATATAAGGGGGAGTTAAGTAGGCTTATTGCTCTATAGGAGAAACAATTTTCAAATTTAGATGTTCTGTGCTGTGGAATAGCAAATCTAACAATATTTCTTAAATCTAGACCATGCAAATCCAAGCGGAGATCAAAGTAACTGTAAAGGTACCTTGGGAGCCCACTTTTGAAGATTTTTTGAACAAATAAGGCAAAGTGCAACTCGACCCGGAGGTTGTATTTCAAAATCTTATTATTTATATATATTGGAGTTATGTGGTCATATTTGTTGATACAGTAAGTAAATCGCAAACACGAGTTTTGAGTTTTTTGAATTTTGGTTTTATATTCATTTGTCAGGTAATAATAATAAACCACATTACAATAGTCTATTTGAGATAGCAATAGAGAATCTATTAATTTCGCTTTGGTTTCACTTTGCAGAATATACTTGAAACTATACAGTTGTTTAAGTTTAATCATAATAGATGTTATTTTTTTTTCCACATGTAATTCAAAATTTAAATTACTATCAAAATAAACTCCCAAGTTTCTTGCACAATCCTCAAGCGGAATTTCAACACTATTGAAGTGTAATGTTGTAAAGTTGTAAGTAAAAAAGTGATTCCTAGCCGTTTTTGTTCCTATAATTAAATAAAGACATTTTTTAACATTTAACAGCAACCCATTATTCAACGACCACTTCCAAACACTATTCAAATCCTGATTTATCCTTTCCATTGCCCAACTGGCAACCTCCGGAGGAAAACCTGACAACAATTGTGTGTCGTCCGCGTAGAAGTGGATGCCGCAAAAACCGACCTGTCGCTGCAAGTCAGCAGTGAAAATGTTAAACAAGAGTGGGCCAAGTATGCTGCCCTGTGGAACGCCTTTTGTGACAGAAACAAGGCCAGATCTCGCCCCATCCAACTCCACAACCTGTTGTCTCCCCCCGAGGTAGCCCCCGAACCATTTACAGGCCGCCTCAGAAAACCCATAGTATCCCAACTTAGCTATCAGCAGATCATGCGGCACCAAATCAAAAGCTTTACTATAATCTAACAATACCAGGCAATTAACATATGATTGATCCATGGAACACGAAATATCAGTGCATATCCTACTGAGAGCGGTCGCAGTTCCAAGTTGAGCCCTAAAACCCGACTGGGTTGGAGGCAGAATATTTTTGTTTGCAATATAACTATTCATTCTATCAGACATAACAATTTCAAACATCTTTGAGAGAATTGGTAGTTTACTTATTGGTCTCAGTTCATTAAGAGTACCAATTTTAGCATTTTTGGGAAGAGGAGTAATAATTGACTTTTTCCAAACTTCAGGAAACTCTCCAGAGAGTAGACATGAATTATACAAGTTGGTAATTGTCGGTGCAACATATTCTAAACTGAAAAGTAACATGTCATATGTTATATTATCTATTCCGAATGCTTTGGATTTAATTCTCCTAAAAGCATTGTATACTTCGAATTGGGAAATTTCTTCAAAAGAGAATTGTTCCAATTCGTCAATTCCCACAAAGTTGGCATTATTAAAGAACTCGACAACTTCCTGATCTACCTGCACATCCATTCGAAATACACTTGCAAAATGGGCACTAATCGCGTCTACATTTTTCAAGTGTGTGGGTATTTCATATACAGGTTTACAATGAACATTCCAATCATTGAGTTTTGACCACATACGTTTAGAATCCCTATTTAATTTATTCAGTTCAAACGTCATATACGCCTTTTTTTCGTTCTTTATAGCAAAATTTAAGTAATTTTTTAAATCTACATAAAAATTCTTATGCACTATGTTTTTGGTTCTAAGATATTTCTTGAAAGCATTCTTTTTCAATTTTATTATTTGTTTTATGGTTTCTGTTATATAGGGCTTATATTTACGTTGAATTTTAACAGTTTTAATGGGAGCATGTTTGTCAAAGTTCTCAATTAGAACTGAATTTATGTTTTCAATTATAGTATCAGGAGTACCCTGATTCATTAAGTTAAAATTTATAGCAGACATATCTGCATGAAAGTCTTGCAAATCAAAGTTTTTGAAATCCCTATAAGTTACCATTTTTGCATGTGTCCTCGGAATATTTAAATCTATATATGCATACACTAACCTATGATCTGACATATTAAACATTTCCATAGTTCCTGTTTCACTAGCTATTAGATTTTTATCAATAAAAATAACATCAATTAAACTATCGGTGTTTCTAGTTAAACGAGTGGGTTCATTAATTATTTGTATCAAATTAAAGGGATTTAACAATGACTTCAGGTATTTTGATTCAACACTCTCTATAAGCAAATTTATGTTTAAGTCACCCATCAAAAAAGTATAGCCATATGCAGGAGCAAGTGTGAAAAGAATATTTTCTACTACCTCCAATTCTTTATAGCCAACCAATGGCGGCTTATAAATTACTCCAACCAGACACTTTAGTCCCTTAAATTGTATTCCACACCAGAGCTGTTCCACGCCAATGTTATTTTCAGCCAGTGCACCAAGGTCAATTATAGTACCTTCGATTGTAGAAACCACATAGAGTGCTACTCCTCCTCCTCTAGTAGTCCTGTCATTCCGAAACACTTGGTAGCCTGGTATATTTATACAGGAATCAGGAAAGTTTGTAGTCAGCCAAGTTTCGGTAACTCCCAAAATATGAAAGCCCTCCGAAAGAACCATGTCACACAGTTCACCAAATGATGGAAGCAATGACCTAATATTAATATGAGCTAAAACAAAGCGGTTGTTTTTTAGAATAGACAATATCTGTCTTTTCAAAAGCTAAGGGGGTTGTAAGAAACAGAGTGACACCAGTGGCGTAAACTCGATCGACCAACGAATGGCGAACCATACGAAAATATACAAAATTGTATGATTATTCAAAAACTGTTCATAGGATTAAATTCATACTAACATGGGAAGTTTGAGGGGGTAGTCAGAAACAGGAAAATACAAGTGGCGTACATTCGATCGACCTACGAATGGAGAACCATATGAAAATATACAAAACTGTATCATTATTCAAAAACTGTACATAGGAAACTGTATGAATATTCAAAAACTGTACAGGGTGGGCCAAATTGGACACTTTCTTATGGAAACACCCTTTATTTTTAGAGATAGAAAAAAATAGACCCCCCCACTCTGAGGCTCAAATTTCATGAAATCTTGATTGGTGCAAACTGCATTTTGATATCTTCAACCGTTTAGCCGCTAGAGGGCGATTCTCGATTTTGAGCAATATTGTAAAGTCTCCATAACTTTTTTGTTTATGAAAATAATT